CTACTCAAATTCTACTTAGGATTAGAATTAACACTATTGCAAAGAAATAAATTAATGAATAAATGAAAAATATACTAACTTACTTCAATACATAAAATTATCATACATAAAAAAAAATTAAAATTAAAATAAAATAATTAAAAAATTAAAAAATTAAAAACTAAAAATAATAATATTAGTAAATAAAAGTAAAAGTAAGAATTAATATAAAATGATAAGTAAAAGTCAAAATAAAATTTTAAATAAAATAGAATAGAAGTAAAAATAAAATTAAAAATTAAAATTTAAAGTAAATTAAAAGTAAAAAATAAAAATAAAATTAAGAGTTAAAAACCAAATAATATTAATTAAAAATTAATGTGAAATTAAAAATTAAAAGTAAAATTAATATTAATATATTTTTTTATTAAAATAATTAATTTATTTTAATAATATTATTTTATTTTTAATTTTAATTGATTTCAATATTTTTATTTTTATTTTTATTATTTATTTTTTTATATTTTCAATTTAAGTTTAAATTTTTTTTTATAGTTTGATATAATTAAAAAAAAATTAAAAACAAAGTTTACAAGTATAACATAAAATCAATAATGTAAATGAGTGAAAAGATAGAAATCACTTACCTCAATTGTATTCCGCTTAAGGCAGCAATCCCTCTCTACTCCAAAAATCGCCAAAATTTTAATTTTGATTCAATAGCACCAAATTTTGTACCACTAAAATTTCAACCCAAAGGTTCTTGTACTCGGAATTTTCCAATATTAAATTTTCACCAGGCACTAAGAAATGCCTTTCTTAACATGAGGTACATGAAACTGCCAAGGCAGTGAACCCCTTTCTAGTCTAAAACTCACTATAAATTCGTATCAATTCCAATTTGAACGTGCAATAGCTTTTTGAAAAGCTAACATCAACATACACAACTTCAAAAAGTTTCACTATCAAATATGTAACCTATGAAAACAATTTGATGAAAACCTGAGAGCAACTTGGAGTACACAAAACTGCCAAGGTAGTGAATCCCCTTCTAATAAAAAATCTACTAAAAATTCAATTTTAGTCCAATTCAAACGTGTAATAGCTTTTTAGAAAGTTCACATCAAGATACACAACCTAAAAAACTTTGAAGTTCAAAAACGAAACAATTAAAAACTGATTGACGAAAATCCGAGAATAAATCAATAATCAATTCAACAATGAAATTTTTACTATCTTGTAAAGTAAGAAATATAAATGCTTTGGTTCCACTAATAAAGAAGAGATGTAGAACACTTATCAATGATGAAAAGCTACTTGAATTTCTCACTCAACAAAACCAAGTACAATCAATTACAATAAGCAACTTCACATCCACACACACCTATTGGAAGCACCATCTCCGAGCAAACGCACCAAAATGTGAGTGTAAATTTCACCCCTCTACCCAAATTACAAGATGGCTTCAATTAAGAGTTTCTTGTAATCCATAGTATGAAGTGAAAGATGCAATGAAAAAGAGCAAAAGAAGAAACAACACAAACAACTGAAAGAAATGTATACAAGCAAATACACACTCTAAAACTCGGTCACAGTTTGTTTACGAAGTTTTCATCTAGTAAAAAATAAAAAGTAAAAGTATATTTTTACGAAGTCAATTTTTTAAACTTTCCAATGATATAAGAAACATGTAAATCCGAGTTACTATAAGTAAGTTATGAAGGTTTAAAAATAACAAGTAAATAAATAAAAGTTAAGTAAAAATGTTTTACCTCAAGGATAACTTGCTTATAGGTCAAGGATTTGAGCCTCACTAAGGCTGACATGTAGTGTATATTAGTTGTCTAATGAGGCCTTGAGGTCTTAGTCTTATCTTCCTACCTATACCCAAAGTGCTACAACCCATATGGGACTTGTGCACCTTCCTTCTTACAAGGACTACACTAGCTGTTGGTCCTCCTATTTTCTACTAGTAAAACTCATTTTTTTATATTTTTGACTTCGTCATGGTACTCAAAAACATCCAATTAGCTTAGGAATTTATTGTTTCCTTTAAAACTTACTCTCTTTCTTCATAATGGCTTCCGAAGTGATAAAACTCATTTTTACTAAGATCTTAAATATTGTTCTAAAAATTCCTAAAAAATTATAAATAAATTATAAATAAATTCTAGAAAAACTTATAATATTCACATAATACTAATATCTATGTAAAGCTACATTTTCCTATCTTTGTGATTTTTGGTAATAATAAACATCAATTTAAATCCATTATAAATCCTATTTTTTATATCAATAACTAAAATGACATGAGATTCTTTCTCATGATTCTTTTAACTACTAATATTTATAGTTTTTATAAATATTATATATATATATATATATATATAGAAGACCAATATAAATATTGGTTTTAATAAATAATCCTTGATATTCAATAATAAATAAAATACTAAATAAACAAAGATAATTACCTCCAAGACTTACTAAGATTCTATCTCCACTACTAACATTCTAATTTTCTATTTCTCAAAGGATTTCTATACTACTCACCATATATTGTGATTTAAAGCATTCAAAATGCATATTTTTATCCTAAAACAACAAGTGAGTCAATTTGATGACTCATATTCTTCTAATCGACAACAACATAAAACCTCATTATAAAATAGAACAAAATAGACCAGAACAAAATTAAATAGAATTAAAAAATATAGGACATAAAAGATAAAATTATGTAAATAAAATAAAATAAAACAGAACTAAATAGAAAGATACAAAACGAAACTTTACTAAGAGGGAAGGTCCAAAGCCATATCTGATCAAATGCTCCAAAAGGCCTTAGTTAGTCTTATTTATATTTTGTTCTATTATCCTGGAATTTTTATAATATTATTAAATGATGGATCCCACTTAGATAACTACTCTAATCTCTTTTTAGAAAGTTCTATGGTGGATCCTATATAGTCCACTAACCTAGCCTTAATTCTAGAAACTTCTATAATTTTTCAACCATGGTTCAGACTATTTATTCCTATGTGTCAATAATATAAATATTTTATCTACACTCTATTACATCATATGTTTTTTCTTAAGCCATATAAGACAATAGATATACCAAAAAGATGACAACTCCCACCTCTTCCTATAGAAGTAGATAATAGCTAAAAGTATGAAATTAAAGAAGTCTTAGACTGAAGGCGGTGCCAAAATAAGTTAGAATATCTTGTTCATTGGTACAAATATAATATTAGTAAATAAATATAAAAGCTAATTAAAAATCTTATAAATATAATAAATAAAGTTGATACTTTTTATCAAAATTAAGATCAAGGATAAGAAATCTTTGATATAAAAGAACTACAGTTCAAGAAAGATTGCATTAATCTTCTATTCTTATTTGCAATTTTTTATATATTTGTGGACCTAAGAAGATAGAGAGCCATTAGCCAATAAATTCAACTCAAGAGTTATTATTTGTGGACTTATTAGACAAAAGATTGTGATTATTGCAACCTTTAAGACAATATAATCTAAATGAAGACCTTCAAGAATGATATGTTCTTCCTTGAATAGATGGCAAGATATATTACATTTTATATTACAATCTTGGAAGAGACTTTTGATGTTTGATAATTTTATTAGAATTAAGAACGATTTTTGAGGATATTACAAATATTTTATTTAAAAAGAGTTATGAAGGCCTCAACAATGATTAAATAATAGGATGATTATCTCTCCATATAATAGGTCATTATCAATGGTGATGACGACCTATCAATTATCTTGATAGATAATAAAGATTAGAGTATAGAACAAATATAATTTTCCGCATTTTAGATTTCTTCAACATGTAATCATTATTCGTTGTAGAACTTGTTTCCAAAAAGAAAAGTAATGTTACAAACATATATATTTATTCCATAATTACTATGATATTATAAATAGATAAAAATAGGCTAATTTGATAATATTCTTATAGAAAAACTTTCTAATAGCTTTGTAGACGTGGTTTCATCTTTATACATGTTTGTAGGTAATTGGTAGATTAGAAACTTGGCCAATAAGTTAATCATGTATTGTATGTATTGATATCTTGTTGTACAAGCTAATAAAGTGGCGCATATATAAGAAACTTTCTTTGCAAGTTAAGATACATATCTTATAAATTAGACACATGTCAAAAGAGCTGTAAAATATTGCCACATAGCTTCTAATTAGATAGTATATATGGAGGCAAGAGTGATGCCTTCTTCACTCTTATCAATCCCTTTCTAATCCTTAGTCTTATTTCAAGATTTTTTAGTCTTCTTGTCTTTGATAATAGCTACTTTAGTTTTATATTATACTATCTTTGAATAATTTTCTAGCCTTTTCAAGTGACATAAGAGTGTATTGATCTAATAGTTCTTTGAGATTCATGTCGTTAATAATACTTGAGTTTAAGAAAAACCTTCTTTGCTTATTGTGGTTGAATAGTTGTTTGCAAAACTCTAGATAGACTTTGTATATTATATAGGTACTTACTTTGCTTACAATTGTGCAACATATGCTTGGAGATCAAGTAGATTGTATTTGAAAACATGAAAGTAGTACCATCTTCTTTTTCTTATTGAAGTATTATAACTTTCTTGCTTAATAAAAAATCATAATATAAATTTCTTTATCACCTCCAATGAATTGATTTCACATCTTTTACTATGAGCTTCAAATCACACAATATAAATATACAATATCCTTATGTCTTTTGTATTTCAAGAATAAAGGCAATTTATGTAAAGTGTCAAATCTACATCTAAGTCAAAGTCATAAAAATGCTCACAATGAAGTCAAACTTCCGATTTATATTTGCAATGTTTGTAATGAAAACATTTAGAAAAACTGTGTACTATATTTTTATTTTAGCAAAACATGATCAATTTCTAATAGGGCTGTTTTAGAATTCAAAAATTTAATAAAAGTATAACCAATAGTAATGTTATGTGAACTGGACATTTGTAGAGAAATATTAGGACAAAAGATTAGGATTGGAATACTCCAGAACAATCACAAGCAGGGTTCTTATTTTATTTTATTTTAATATTTGCATGATTTTAACAACATTATGATGATGACATAAATAATATATAATGGTAAGAATAATAATAATAATAATAATAATATTACAGTTATATACCTTCTTCATACTGGAAACTTCTTTCAAGACTTTCAATGTTGTCTCCACCACTGCACATTTGTCCTCAGTAGTATGTACACGTGTCCTTCCTTCATCACCATAATGCCCTCCCTACCTGGAAGCATGGGGAAGGGAACTATTCCCGTGACGTCATAACTTTTACTTCCACTGCTTGTTTGTTCATGACAAAAGAGCCACCGCAAATCTTCTACCCCCCACCAGTTGCGACCAAGGTGGACGTGGGGTTGGTCTCGGTAGGAGAGGGCATTCCGGCCTGGAATGGTCGGGGGGCCCACAGCGGCAGAGGAGGAAATGCAGCAGCAGGACGGGGGAGCGCAGGAGGGAAGGGGGAGTCCCACCGATGGAGTGGAGCGGTTGTGGTGGTGGTGACTGGTGAGACCACCGGGAATAATCCCCCACCTTCCACACCTTTTCCCTTAGTGAAACTGACCTCTCCCTCTGGCTCTTGAATGTTCCGAAGACTTGTTGTACTTGACTCCTCTGATTCTCCTGCATCATCATTCAGCTGATTGCGGTTCGGGACCAGTTGCACAAATTTCCTTGGGACAGCCAGCCAGCCAGCCATTCAGGCAGGCCTCGCCGATTCTGGTTCCGTTTATCTCGTTGCCTCGGGGCTGGTAGTAGCAGTATCTTTTCAACCCCTCTCTGTGATCTGTCTTTCTACTTCACACACAACTATCGTTGCTGTCTTGTGCGAATCCTTTCGGTATCGTTGGTGGACCGGATACGTCACGATTCTTCTTTTATTATTCACTTATTCCTTACCTACGCCTCATTTCTGCATCGCCTCTTCTCTCTGCTGTTGTTTCTGTCACCATGGCGTTCTCAGTGTCTCGCTTCTTGCCCATTCTATGGCGCGCCCGAGCTGCCGCAGCTGCTTCTTATTTCCCCTTCTCTTCAGCTGCCGTTGGTGCCGGTGCTGGTTTTGCTGCTCCCTCCCGATCAAACTCCACGGCCGCTGAGGTTGTAGCTGACGAGGAGCATGTGGCTACAACTGCCCCTCCTGCTGTTATGATTAAGGGCGTTAAGATGGCGGGGCGCCCGCTCTACCTCGATATGCAGGCGACTTCTCCTGTTGATCCCCGCGTTCTTGATGCAATGTTTCCCTACTATATCGACCAGTATGGAAACCCTCATTCCCGTACGCACATGTATGGATGGGAAAGTGATGATGCGGTGGAGAAGGCCCGGGAGCAAATTGCCAAGCTCATTGGTGCCAATCCTAAGGAGATTATCTTTACATCAGGCGCTACTGAAGCTAACAATATAGCACTTAAAGGCGTGATGCATTTCTACAAGGAGAAGAGAAAGCACGTCATCACCACGCAGACAGAGCACAAGTGTGTCTTGGATTCCTGCCGTCACCTGCAACAGGAGGGATTTGAAGTCACATACCTGCCGGTCAAGAAGGATGGCCTAATTGATTTAGATGAGCTCAAAGCTGCTGTTCGACAGGACACGGGTATCGTATCAGTTATGACTGTTAATAATGAAATCGGTGTCATTCAACCTATAGCAGAAATTGGAGAATTGTGTAGGAAGAACAAGATTTTTTTTCACACAGATGCTGCCCAAGCTGCTGGAAAGATCAGTATAAACGTGGACGATTTGAAGGTGGACTTGCTGTCCTTGAGCGCGCATAAAATCTATGGACCCAAGGGAGTTGGAGCTCTGTATATGCGCAGGAGACCTCGCGTTCGCGTGGAAGCACAGATGAGCGGGGGCGGACAAGAAAGAGGCATTCGAAGTGGGACTGTTCCGACCCCTTTGGTTGTTGGGTTGGGCGCTGCATGCGAGATTGCTATGGAGGAAATGAAGCACGATGAGAAACACGTTAAGGCACTTACCGATCGGCTGTACCAGGGAATAACGTCCAAACTGGATGGCGTAATCCTCAACGGCAGTGAAGAGCATCGGTATGCAGGCAATTTGAACTTGTCTTTCGCTTGTGTGGAAGGAGAGAGCTTGCTTATGGGACTAAAGGAAGTAGCCGTTTCCAGCGGAAGTGCTTGCACTAGTGCAAGTCTCGAGCCATCGTATGTATTGCGAGCTTTGGGAGTAGAAGAAGATATGGCTCACACCTCCATCAGGTTTGGAATTGGTAGATTCACGACAAAGGAGGAAGTCGACAAGGCCATTGCCCTTACCGTTGATCAGGTGACTAAGTTAAGGCAGATGAGTCCTCTATGGGAGATGGTACAGGAGGGCATTGATCTAAAGAGAATTCAGTGGGCTCAACATTGATGAACGATGGCGTTGACGTAATATGTTAACCAAGTTTATGTTTTATTGTTTACCTTGTATTTAAATACCTCATGATCTTGGTTGAGTTAAACAACTAATTAAGCTCTCCATGTAGATATGACTTTAAAAAGTAGGTACTGGAGGAGTCATTCATTAAAACTTGTAAGATATTGAGCCTTTCCACCGAGCAATTGGGAATGCAACGACAAGGGTGCTTCTCTGTGTTTTATAGACTATTCTGTCTGGGTATCCACGAGATTCTCTTAAATGGATTTGCAGTGAATAAAACGTCAGCTTAGTGACATTGGGGGTGTATGGTGCCTCTTATCCAACATTGAAATTTTCGTTGTCTTACTGGTAGTTGTTCGGTTAATCTCTGTTGTGTTGGGGTGATAAATGCATGTGTAATTACAGTGAAAACGGCTCATTGATGGTTGTTGGTGATTGTTTGAACACTGCCGGGCTATATCATGTGCAGATTTTCTTGTTTTGCGTATCCGGTTTCCTATCTTTTAGATTGTTTGTTCTCAACTTTGGGTTGAAAGTTGATGAAATATCACTCTTGCATTTCTTCACCTTCTTTTGTTTTGTTTTATTTCTTTTAGCCAGTTTGATTCTTTATGCAGAGACCCTAAAACTTTTGCACTCAACCAACCATGAGCACCCATGGGATAAGGTAAATCAAATACAATCAAGTCTTAGGATGCAATATATAACAAAATATAATGAAAACTTTAGATGTGTGTATGCTGTGATTTGAAAGAAAAAGAATTGTGATGTTAAATATGAGTAGAAATTATTGAAATTCTATACTAATCAATTTAATTCCCCTTCTATTGTATAGATTTTTATTATCTTTTAATCATCTTTTGCAAGATAAAATTTATAAAATTTATGAAATTTATAAAATATTCATGAGTAATATATAATTATCTTTTATTTTAAAAATATTTAAAATATATTCATTTTTTAATTTGTTTTATGATATGAATGTATACATACATACATATATATACACATGTATACACACACATATACATATACATATATATATACATATAATTGATGATATTTATAAAAATAGTAATTATTATTTCTGAGAATAATCATAAATTTCTTATAAGTTTCAATATCTGCTATGAAAACACTATTAAACCACTATATTAAAAAATTGTGATTTATGATAATTTATTGCTATCAATCAATTTTGAAGTTTTATGCTTATCATATCATTTTGCAGGATGATTTTTTATTTCAAATATATTTTTTTCTTTGCACATATTTTATTTATATATGCATGCAACAAAATATTATAAAAATAATCATTAATAAAATTATTTTTTGAAAGTATTATAAACATTACTCAAAAATATCTTAAACTTTACATTTGTTATGAATAGAGAAAATTAGTATCAAATCACACTTAAGTGGTATGACCACCTATATTATTCACTATCCAAAGTAATTCTTTGACCTCCCTTTGATATCTTATGGTTTTATTTAGAATGGCAGCAATAAGATAGGGACATCTTTTTACTAATATTGTCTATTTCAAATCATTATGATAGAAAATTTCATATTAAGTTGACCACCTCAAGGATTTAAAAAAATATAAAAAGTTCATTAGCTTGTAGTCTTAATAATTATTATATTAATTCATAAAATTTGAAATACCTTTACTGATATTTATAAAAATAAAAAATATTAAATCTCTTATATATTATATAAAGTCATAAATTAAATTGATATACTTATCTTTTACTTCTAAAAAATATTTTTTATGAAATATTATATATAATAATATTTAATTAAAAATATTTTAAAATTAATTTCAATCTATTTATTAATATTTAGTATTAAAATTATATTCTTCAAAATATATGATATTCTTGAAATATTATACCACCTTAATGCCTTTTATTACTACCATCTTTAATAATCTATAAACTTTCATTGATGCCTTTAAAAATAGCTTATTTAACACTATATATTTAAATGAGTGATAATCAAAGACTTGAATCTAAACAAATCCATTAATATATAACACATTCATATACCATTAAGAAAAAAAGAAAAAAAACTTTATAAAAATATATATAGATATTAGATAGCAATAAATTAAAACAACCATTGCCAAAAAAAAATAAAATTAGAGTTTTGAACCAAAATTAAAGTATAAACAAGACTTTGATATTATTAATGATGATCTTTGTCTTGCTATTTGGCAAAGACAAGAACATGATAAAGAAAAATAAACAAGTAAGACTTCTCTCATAGAAAGATGACAAAATAGAAACAACTTGATATATATATTAAGAAAGAAACTAGAATGGCTATTGCCAAAAGCCAAGAAAACTAGAGATCTTTGAAACTAGACTGGAAGTAAGAAAGGAGTTGACAAGAGTGAAGAAGGCTTCACTCTTACTTCTATATATACTATCTAACTAGGGGCTATGTAGTGACGTTCTACAGGACCTCCAATATGTGTTGACTTTGTAGGATACATGCCTTGACTTACAAGGCAAGTTTTTCTACATGTGGGCCACATAGTTAGCTTGGTCTTCAAGCTAACAACATATGTGGCACATGGCCAACTTGTTGACTATGTTTCTAATCCCAAAAAGTCAATTAAAGATACCTATAAAGTCATAGCAACATCTATGAAGCTTCTAAGAAGCGTCCATATTAAATACTATAGAATTAACTTACTTTTACCTACTTTTACTTACTTTTACCTATTTATACATGTAATTATTGGCTTATATGTGTATGTCCGTGACATTTCTCCCCCCTTCTAGGCACGAGTTCCACAAGGAGCGGTAATCATATATTGAGAAAATCTATGAGGCGACAAATTACATTCGCCACATACTCTGATCTTTGTTCTCTTCGAAGATGATTGATAGGGCTTCTCAACTATTGGTAGTGTTCCATACCATGATAGGAAGACCACCCAATTATTTGATCATTATTGAGGCCTTTATAACTTCCTTCGAATAAAACATTTGGAACACCATTAGGAGTTGTTCCTACTTCTACTAAAATCACCAAATATCAGGAGTCCCTTCCAAGGTTGGAATACCAAACGCGTTGTATTTTGCCATCTATTTGAGGAAGAACATGTTATTCTTGAAGATCTTCATCTCGATTACATCGTCTTGAAGGTTGTGACAATTGTAATGTCTCATCTGATAGATCAGCAAACAAAGGCTTTTGAGTCAAATCCGTTGGTTGTCGGTTCTCCATCTCCTGAGCATCACAACTACAAAGAAGCTACAAACAAGGATTGAAAGTAGAATGTTATCTTACCTAGATGTTGTTTCTTTTATAAAGAAGGTTTACAACTTGATTTTGATGGATGTCGTCAATGAAAAGCCTCCACCACCTTTGCTGCATTTATAAGATTTTTTACTGGCTCTCATGTGCATTCACTAATTTCATATCTACGTCAATGGATAAGATATTCTAATTTATTTTGGTGCCGCCTTGAATCTAAGACTTCTTCCACTTCAAACTCTTCATTATTGTCCACTTCTATATGAAGAGGTGGAGCTTGTCTTCTTCTTAGTATGTCCACTATCTTATATGGTTCAAGAAGAGACACATGGAATACTGGATGGATTTTCATTGACTTCGATAGATGTAAACGATATGCAACTAGATTGATTTGTGCAAAAATAGAAAATGGTCCAAGCCTTCCATAGTCCAACTTGTCACAAGGATGAGTGGTCTTGATATTGCGATGAAGTAACCATACCTTATCACCTATGTAAAATGGTAGTTGTTCTTTTCGATAGACATTCGCATTGATCTTTTGTTGTTCTTGAGCTTCTTTTAACTACGCCTTTATCATTGCATGTAGCTCTGACAAATGAATTGCCAAATCTTTCAGAGCAGGATTATCAATTTTTGAAAAGTCAAAAGTATCAAGTCGTGGATGATAACCATAATTAACAAAGAAAGGTGTTTGTTTTGTAGAAGAATGTACCGTGTTATTGTAAGCAAACTCTGCCAATGGCAAAAGAGTTGTTCAATCATCTTGTTGGTAGTTAATGGTACATCTTAAATACTACTCCAAAACTTGATTAACACGCTCCGTTTGTCCATCAATTTGAAGATGGAATGCCGAAGATAGTTTTATGTCCACTTTTAGAATCTTGAAAAGAGTCTGCCAAAATCTTGATACAAATTGAGTTCTCCTATTTGATATAATATCCTTGGATAATCCATGATAGCGATAGATATTTTCAAGAAAGAACTTAGTTGTTTCTTCACTTGTAATAGATTTTGTACATAGTACAAAATGTGCCATCTTGGTAAAACGATCTACTGTTATGAATATAGAGTCATAAGAACCTGAGATTAGAAGATCTGTGATGAAATCCATAGAAACACAAGACCATGGTTGTTCTGGAATGGGTAATGGCTGAAGAATTCCGTAAGATCGATGACGAGGAGTTTTTGATCTTGAGCAAACATCACATGCTTGTACAAAATCATTGACTGCTTTTCACATTTGAGGCCACCAAAAGTCCATACATATTAGTTCAAAAGTTTTATTGTATCCAAAATGTCCTGCTGCTGGAAAGTCATGATGAGCTTGAAGAACACGTAATCGAGCTTCACCTTCTAGAACATATAGGCATCCCTCAAAATAAAGTAGATTCTTCTTGAATTCAAACTTGAAAGTATCATGAGACTTTGAAGGATTTCTCTTCATATCACGAATAAGAGGATCAGAAGACATACTTGATTGAACTTGCTTAATGAAAGTTGAAACAACAAATAGTGTTGATTTCATTGCTCGAAGATGAAGATACTCTGGCTTCAAGAGAATTATTCGTTGTTGATCAAAAGTAGCATCTCCTTACTTTGGTGCAAGATAAGATCATGTCTAGAGAGTGCATCTGAAAAACCTTGTTGTTTTTCTGGTCGATAAGTGATCTTGAATTCAAATCTTAACAAAGACATACTCCAATGAGCTTGGCGACAATTCAAAATACGTGCTGACATAAAATATTCAAGGTTCTTATGATCCGTATATACTAAGATTGGACTAAAAGCACCTTCTAGATAATGGCGCCATTCTTCAAACAAATCCATGATTGCAAGAAGTTTTTTGTCGTAGATCTCGTAGTTGATCTTGGCTGCTGAAAATTTTTGGAATGTAAAGCTATTGAGTGAAGTTTATCATCTGTTTTCATTTGTAACAATACATCAGTTAAAGCAAAGTTTGATGCGTCTGTTTCCATAAAAAATGGCTTAAAAAAATCGACGCAATACAAGATTGGTGCTGAAATAAAGGCTGTCTTCAAAGCTTCAAATGCTACTTTT